CACTATGAAAACTAGACAAGTGTGTCCACTCAGATTATGAGTTTAGTAATATCTTCTGCGGGAATTGAGAGGGCTACCTATGATTTCTGTGCCCACCTTTGTAAACCCGGATGTTATCTTGTATTAATGATTTACCATTCAAGTATCATCAGTCATGTATAACTAAGTTTCCTTATCAAGTTGTTTGGATTCATCAGTTACTGTTCTAACTCCATATTGGATTTTGCAAAGGATTGTGGGATAGAAAATCGAACTATAGAGGGTGTTTGGAGGAGTTGTATCTTTTCCACACATCAACTGTCAACCTCTCTTTTCAAGTAAGCGTTCGTGTTTTTTTTATTTTTTTTATTTCTAGTTAATTCCCTTGGAAGATTGTTTGAAGATTGTTTTACTGTTTTTGGCTGCAAGCTGTCTAACTGTAGGAGCCATAGAGATAGACACATAGAAATGTGTCTGATTTTTACTCATTCATTCATTTCAATTAATGTTTTATTATTTTCATTATCACAGCGGGAAAAAAACATGCATCTATATTGTCTACTAAAAAGTTTTGATTGATTTTAAATCAGTGTCCAGAATTAAAACAATGGAGAACTTCACAATTTAGGCTTCATTTATAAATGTTGGCTGACACCTTTTTTAAGACTGGTGTAACATGCAGTTGAATAAAAGACTAGTTTGTGCAATGAACTGTTAATGTATGAATGTAATGCTGAGTTATATCATGTTACTAGGATTTAAGGTAGCAACAGGGGAAATCTGGTAAAATTTTCATGTTTTTTTTTAATAATCAGTACCAGTATATCATTTCCTTTTAGTGTATTCTTTCAGTACAACTGATAAAAAATAGCACTAATGTTAATTTAGACGTAAATTGGAAAACAAACTTCCATTTGCCATTTAAAATGCAAACAACCACTTATCTATTTAACATAATGGAAATGATTGACAAATTGTGAACAATTATTGTGTTGTATTGAGTAATCTGTTGTCTCTACAGTCTGGGCGTTTGCTATTGTAAATAAAAGCCCATCTCATCAGTTTCTGTTATATTGCCAGTGTCAACAGTTTCCATATACACACATGGAAGAGTGGACACACAACCAACATCTATTTTTTTGTCAAGGCAAAGCAACATTATTTAACATGAGAAAGGAGAGAGGTCGTCCAAAAAAGTATTTTGAACCCATGAGTGAAGAGAAATGGGTCTGACTGAGTGGGTACAGCCGAAAATTATATCCTGTTTCAGATGGAGTTGTTTGGCACAGAAGATTGATTTGTATAGTCACCAGGGATGTAATGTTAGTACTTCAGAAGGGGGCGTGGCTGTAACCACACACTTTTTTGGAATACAAATTTGAATTTGGATCTCTTCACAGTTTTGTGACTAAAATAGTTTGGAGAAAGTTTGTTTTAAATACTTGCATTTCCATCTGGCAATGAGCATATAAAATTCCGTCACCCCTCCCAAATCAACAAGGGGTGTCAAAGTTTATAAACAACCAACATATATTTCACATTGAAGATGTAAACATTTATTTCAATAAATTAAACATGACAAAAAATATTGTACAATTGCGCTCTCTCACACCTAGTAGATATTGTGCAAATTAAAATAAAAAGAAACTGTGAATTACAGCAATACAATTGGGTATTAACCTGAACTTTGGACAGCTTTCAATTTATTCCAGTATATTGTAACCAAACACTGAAATTTGTTGTTTGAATAAGATTTCCATGAAGAGCCGTTACATGGTTGTACAAAAAAGTTTCAATTTGTTTGCTAATTTATTTTAAAATTAATAAAAAAAATCGTCAGGAATTACACAAATTTTACAGAGGGTATCGGTAGTTTTCAGCTCAATTGTTGAGCTACTTTGCGCAGACAGTAATAACTTTTTTTCTGTCACTCAGCCATATTTTTTCACATTCAAATGTCAGGCAATGATTGTTTAGCACCAAAGTATACTTACATTACAAGAAATAGGACACAAGTAACATATTTTTATGTTAAACCATTGATGCAACAAATCTGAGACTTCTATCTCAATTTCAGTTGCCTAGAAATCCAGCTATTCAGGATTGGCCTGTTGAATCACTATGTAACTACGTAGTCGGCACAGAAATCTGTTTCATCCCTGATTGACTGCAATCAATCACTTAGCACGTTACCATGGAAATATGCATTCACAGACTTAACAAACCATTTCAGACTGGTTCACGAGTCTATTATTTGTAAATATTGTAGATTATTAAAAAGCTCATGATCTTAGACAGCATGTATTCTTTAACTTTAGTGGTATCATCACTTCACAATTACATAGCAGCATGTACAATACATAATCCTATTGTGACTGAAAACATATAATTCACGTTATCATGCAGTGAACATTGCTGACTATTTGCTTTACAAACCTCTCATTCTCACATTGACAGAATGTAGCAGCGGCAAATCATACATATCCTATCACTTCAGGGGATCCCAAAGCTTGGAACGCAAATTAGTCAGCAATGGTTTCTGTGTTAAACAAGTTAAAATCTTTCACCTGACCAGAAACTTAAAAAGATCGATCGGCTGGTTTTGTCATTTCCACTAATTTGTTGTTGTTTTGAATATCATACAATGTAATTTTCTTAAATTGCAATTCAATGGATTTTGTGATTTTGCCAAATAGTCTTGTTTCGTTTCATATACATTTACAGTGGCAAAAACAAAAAATCACTCCACAATCCATCTTAAAAATGAAGTAAAATATTTCAGTTTTTTTATTTGATACAGTAAAAGCAATCATGAGCACAACATTTCGTAAAAGTCACTGTGACCTCACCTTACGAACTAAGTATAGTGAAATATTCACTTCTGCAAATTTTAATGATTTTCCTGAAATAAAAGTTTGTCTCACAGGAAATGAAAGCAGTTCACGCAATCTGATTCAAATCTGATGTAGTGTACAGGCTTTAATTATTGTGGCTATAAACCTATTTTTATTTTATATTTCATTACTTTTGTTATTAATGCCTTTTTATTTTATTATTTTATTTTGATTTTGTGATTTATTATAATTCAGGCTTTCGCAATTATCAAAACCTTAAAAAAATAAATACTAGATCAAAATAAAATAAATATACAAAAATAAAGCCAAAACTAGGATCTTATTTTAATCAGATTGCAGTTTACGGTCGACAGATAAATAGCAAGTACAGGTAATGTACATTTCGACAAGGTACAAATTTACTTCAGCTCAACAAAATATCATCTATCGGTAAGCGGAAAATAACATTTACATACAAAACATGTATCCGGTAAGCTAGTTAATTTTTTTCTCTGGTCTCATACTGAAGGGTTCTAGTCTATCTTCATCAGGTAACACACTATTGAGTCTGTCCATCAAAGGAACTAACTGATCTACACTCATTTGCACCCGTTTCAACACTGCTGACATCTCCTCTATTTTCTGTATGTGTTCCGCATATTTTGCAAACTTCTTCTGTCGTTCCACCATGCTGTGCATTATGGAGTGAATCGCCACATCTACCTACCAGACACGTAATAACAGAGATTGTCACTGATTGCATATATTGAACATATACAATGATCTTTCTATTAGTTGAACCCTTCTAAAACAATAATCTTATTATTTTTCCTCAAGCAATTTAATCACCTAACCAGAAATGACCTCTGGGAGTTTTTTTACTATAACGAATCATTTCTAACTACATCTGGAATATTTGGCACATTCACCAACCAATCAAAATGAGTCTTACAAAAACTAGATAATTACTAAAATATTCAACAACCAATCAAAAGCAGTCTTACAGATTTGAGAAACAGATAATTACTGGCACATCATCAACCAATCAGAGAGAGAAACTATATAATTCTGTGCATACAGTTTAGTATGCAAATTTCAATTTATTTTCTTAATTGATTTAATGTGAATGTAATTTCTATATGTGTTGATACAGAGAACAATATACATGTATACATAAACACATGTGATGATATGATGCATGAATTTACACAGGTTTGTCTATTAAATCAATACAATCGTGTGTATATATTGTTTTATAAACAACTTTAGTGCTCTGAGCCTCATTATGACACTGATTTGCATATGGTTACATATTTTTTCACTAAAAGAAATATGGATGTTACAAGCCCTTGCTAATGAACCCTTGATGTCAAACCTACCTCTTTTATCCTGTGAGCCAGGGCGTTTTGATCAAACGACACAGCCTCTGCACACTGTTTCATATGTTCCTGGTAACGCACACACAGCAGTAAAGCTTGCTTGGAATCTATTTTGTCCAACACGTTCGGGTCTTCCATATTTGGTATGTTCAAAGCACCTCGCATGATTGGTAAGAACGTGGGAATATCGTGAAGTTTTTCCAATTCTGAGTTCATTGACACATTGTCTTTCTGCGCCATTCGTACAACCACGATATCTTCTAGTTTGGCTTGTGGTATTGATTTAGAATTGACACCAGCATTTGCCGGGTCTTGAGACAACTTCTCCTTTGGTGCATCTGGAAGCTAGGGACAAAAGCAAGAATAATTATAAATAGAAAACATTTGTGTAGTCTTTTGGCCTTAAAATTAGTTTCAAATAATCTAGTTTTGTAATAATCTTTACAAAAATTGCCATGTCCCAACCACAGTTCTTACAACATACACAATACATATAAGCTGACATTATCAGACATACAACCACAATGCATCTGTTTCAGGATTGTTTGAGGTGTGTGAAGAGAGTAGAGATAAGGGAATTCTGAACTGAAGACAATTCAAATATTCTCATACAAATGAAGGGTCCTTATGGCTCTCAAAGGGACATATATGAACACTCCATCCCTAACCTGACACTCCCTCCCTACTTGTACTGAAGAAGAGCATATACAATAAAAATATGAGAGGGGCACTGAAGGGGCGGGGTTAGGATTGGAGGGGACCCCCAAGAAACTCAACAGTTTGTTTTTTTCACAATCTCACTCAATATAACTTTGATATTAGGTACTATAATTTGTCACATTTGTGTTTGTTTCGTGACATCATGAATGATTGGATCACGCCCTTTTCTATTATCTGCCCTTGATGATCCAGTGTTAAAATATACATTATTCAATGCCGTGATCATGGCGTAAGGTCGCCAAAAGGTCAATAATACGTTACTGGCATGAAAACTGAACTACAGTACTCAACCCAGCCTAATCTTACAGTGGTACGCACCTTGTTGTGACTGTTGTCTGTCAACAGAATACGAAGTGTAGGGCGGAGGTGTTTCTTGATCCTTGTCACGATTGCTTTGAGAATTGTTGTCAGTACTTTGTTCAGTGCCCATGGCGAATGTTTCGTCAGCAACGGAACACGACGAACCCAATAAAAGACAAAAAACTCACTGTCTGTATAATATTGGGAATAAATCGTACTCTTGCTTTCGTCGAATCATACTGATGATGGTCAACACTTCTTCCGGGATGGCGAGAGCGCACCTGACAGGAAGCTGTTATAAATTACCCACAATGCAGCTCAAATAAATATGTCTGCGCCCTAACAATTTAGCGTAAAGTGTTATTGTTGTTGTTTTTATCGAAGTTGATTATTCCTGTTACGCGAATTTGAGCTTGTTTGCAATATCCATAAGATCGAGGTAAATACTTATGCAGAGGAAAGTATTGTTGATGGAAGGTTTGAGATTTTAATATCAAATTATTTTCGTACTTTTCGACTTTTCCTGAGTTTGAGGTCCATCTGATAATTTTGAGTGAGGGGCAACAAGCTGTCGTGATGAGAGAAAAGCAGTCAGGGTGTTTGCGTAATGTGAAATAATTTACGGAGAAAGAAATTTTGTCGACGGAAAAAATCAAATGAGTAAAATATTTGCTAAAAAAATAATAAACTCCAGCCCCCCTAGTTTTGACATGAGTAACCCCTAAATGTGGTAACGCGGCTGTTCAGTAGCCAAATATTCCCCAACAAAAAAAAAAACATATTCTCTTGAAATCTCATTAGCAACTTGAAAGTTACATTGTTGACAACAATTTGTTGAAAGGTCTTCAAATTTTGAGTATTGCATTGAGGCTTGGTTTTTAAATTTTTTTATCGGATCAGCGGCATGTAATTTTCAATTCTTACCAGCACAACCATATGAAGCCAAGGAACTCTATTTAAATAAATATTTAAATATTTTCAAAATTCTAAATTTCTAACTTATGAGCATCTTCTTTTTAAAAAATTATCCAAAAATACTCAGCATAAAACATAAAAAATGTTGATGAAATCTGGATTTTTTTTCATTTATTGTAGGCTTCCATTGTATAATAGATGAGTTCTGAGAAGAGACGTAGGGCCCGTGTTCAGGGGTCCTGGGCACCACCGCCACGCAAACCACAAGAAAAGAAAGAAGCAAGTAGAGCCATGCCAGAAGTGGGTGTATCATCGCCAGTCAGAAAACCTCAACCTCCACAGTTTGCTTACGTTGAAAGTGGACAAGCTATTCGAACACCACCACCAGTTATAAGGATTGAGTAAGTATTGCTACCGTAGAAGGCGGATAACTCAGAAAAATATTATCACCATGACATACCGAGGGTACTGACGGGTTTTGTTATGTAACAAGCAGCTGTTGACTAAATACTGTGAAATACTTTATTTTAGCTGGAATAATTTTTGCTGTAAAGACATAAGACATTTTGGAAGTTTTGTTCGGAGTTTATTTCTACTGATTTTTGATGAGATGAATGTAAAAAATTGTAAAAAAAGTTATATTCGGTGGATTTTATTTTCACTAAATTATGCTTTCAGCAAAAATAGTAGAAGTACAATGTAGCTTCCAAGCAAAAATTAAGTATTTAACTGTAGCTATCTACTTTAGTATTTTTAAGACTCACAGCCTGTAGAAAAGTGTCACATTTTAAACTACTTCAGAACTTAGCAACACATCAATCAACATAATTGCTGTGTTATTATTTGTGACTGCTATAACTGGCATCAAAGTAGTTTTAGGGTGCATAATAGTCCTGTCATAAGAACTCCATTTTTAATTGTACAAGTGCACAAGTTCAGGATTTTCAAAAATTTTGATCATGAATTATGCCAATTTGATCCAAAATTATCCAAAAAAAAAACTATAAAAAATATACATATAAATGTGCAAAATATTTTGGAGGCAAATATTATAGAATTCAGGGTTACCTGTAATAACATGATAACAATCACACAACCACTAAAGGGACAGAAATGGTTACAATACAATATATAACAAAACAAGTCAGTAGCTACCAAAAAAATAAAGAGGAGATGAAATATAGGGGCACGAGTAAAGTAAGTAAAAAAAAAAATATAACAATAAATGTGCAAAATGTTTCAAAGGGTAACATTATAGTGCTCAAATGGGTACAGAAATCTATTCAGATCTGGCAGATGTATTAAAAAAGTACAGAAATTACCTACTCTCTTTTTCTATCTATTATATTTCTCTGTCCGATTGATTGATTTAAAAATAAATTTTTATAAATTTGTCACAATAATGCAAAATAGCTTTACTGTACTTCAATTGAGACTGTCAAGTAATTTGAATCCATGAATTGTACTTGAATTTCAGGAATTTATCATATTTATCACGTAGGAGAATTAATTTTGTCTTCCAACTGTTTCTGATGATTTGGTTTGATTTTTGTTAATAAGATATAACCATATAGCCTTTACACACATTACACAAGTCCCAATTTGAACACATCATGGTGTGACGACTGTGCACTATAATTTGGTCATTTTAATCACTATGATAGTAGAAACATTACAAATTATTTAATATGAACAAAACTAAATATTGTATTTTCATTGTTTAATGTTTATATAGTTTCCTTAATTATTCTTTTTTTCATTTTCAGGAGTGCATCTGATGAAACTATTATCAGTGATGGACCTACTGGCAAATCTATGTATGTTAGTAAACTCTAAATTTTCTGCTGTCAAATATGTCCCCAATTCGATAACCTAAAGAGGTTGGGTCTAATTGGGGATTATATATCATCTTTTTCATGGTTCTATAACACAATAGTGGACGATCCGCCAACCCAAGCACTGTAAAACGTGTTGAAAAAGCGACATGCAATTTTAGCGAATTATGGTGAAATGACGTAATAGCGAAATGTTGATTTAGCGAATCGCTCTTGTCATTGATGATTTCCTGTTTTCACAATACTTGTCTGTCGCGTGCCAAAACAAATGCACAGTTATCATCTCCATAAAAACAAAGAAAAACTGTCAAGTGTAATTTGATTCTGCTCGCAATGATAAAAAACTTAATTTCATATGATTTTCGTTAGGGCTTTGATACACTTGTGATCCATTCTTGACAGACAAATTTTCCTATCCGCAAAGTTATTAATTTTTTTTAATGAAGTCATTATTTTGTATGTGATATGTTTTTTGTGTTTTAAAAATGTACAGTTTTGTGCAGGAATGAAACTAAAAAAAAAGTTAGGTTACTGAAGTGAGTCAGCTCTCACCTATTTTGTTCCCTGTTGTTTGCTGCCAAAATTTATAACAATCTATGAATGCATGGATCTTTTGTTCTGTGTTTTGATACGACACCAGTGTCACATAACTGATTTACATGCAAAATAACCAGATGTCTGCTACTTAGCAGCAAAGTTACGCTTCTTTGCAGGAAACCTTTGCACTAATCTGTGGACAAAGTGTCTGCAACGTGGCAACAAAGCTTTGCGTGAAGGCCTAAATTTTGGTAGGGGTTAAAGTAGTGAGAGGGAAATTTAGATTTTTTTTCTTGATTCTTAAAAAAATTATTGAACGGTTATTTTAGACCTTGATACATTAATTATCCCAGCTTTTTAAAAAATAAATAACGCTAACACAAATAACTACAACTGCCGTTTCTGGATATTTGCATAATATTTATCTTTTGGATGGTTTAAATGATAACATCTTATCTGTATACTCTATTGTTGATGATTCTGATATAACGCGTGATAAACAATGCGTGTTTGTTTAACGTTCATTGTCAGATTTATTGTCAGTCAAGACTTCGTCGGAGAAACATGGTAATAATTTGTACAACTTTCTTTTAAATCATTTTACTTTCCAAGTCAATATTCTATTTTACTAATACCATTTTGCAATGACAAGAAAGAAAGTTGAGAGACGTCGATGACAGACAAATCTTTGGCTCAGTGACACTACTAAGGTCATATTATGACCAACCTTGCGAATTGTTCAAAAAGGACGATAGGGTTGGACTATCCACATCTACACGAAAGATTTTCAACTACGTAACCGATGATGACACTGATACATCAATAAAGGAAGCGAGTACTGGGAAATTTTTTGCTCCTTGATATCTGCCAAAAAAAACAAAGCCATTGTTTTAATTTATGCAGAGAGGTGCACCCATCTAATTTTCCATTGACATTGCCATTTTGGTTTACTATACAGTGTAGTACCGTAGTCTGAGCCTGGATACAGTTGAACCTGTTACACACTTTGTTTTGACTACAAAGTAATGAACGTAGTCATAAGAAATAATACTTGCTAATGACGAAAAAAGTATGTAAATCGATATAGCATAGGTAACGGTTGAATAAATGAACCATGGCTGAAGAAGATGGTATGTACTGCACTTTTCTGTGCTACTGTTTTGTGTAGATATATGATTTTTTTCCATTCTTTTTAATATTAGACTGAGGTACTACCCACAGTTTATTGAAGAGAAAGAACTACAAAGAATATTCCAAACATTATGTAAAGAGTTGCCATGGAAACAAAGATTTGATGTCAAGCGTGATGGTGTGTGCATTCTGACATCTTGAGTGGGGCGTGATTATTTTGTTGGTGTGATAATAGTGGCACTTTTGATTGGCAACATAATGGTTGAGGTGGGAAAGAAAGTGTGAGAAGAATGTGACTTGGAATTGTGACGCATTGGTCAGTTGGTGATTATTACATATAGAGCGGGGTGGGTATGATGACATTCTCGGTAGAGAAGAAATTTGGTGAAGTGAAGAAGGTGACATTCTGGGTGGCTTGTGGATAATGACATCTCAGCTGGGAATGGTGACATCTTGGTGGTGTGGGGGATTGAGACATCTCAGCTGGGAATGGTGACATCCTGGCGGTGTGGGGATAAAGACACCTCTGCTGGAAATAATAACATCTTGGTGGTGTGGGGTTAAAAACATCTTGGCTGGGAGTGGTGACATCTTGGTGGTTAAGGATAATGTCATCTTGGCTGGGAATGGTATTATATCGGTGGTATGAGAAAATACATCTGGATGGGTATGGTTACTTCTTGAGTGGGAAAAGAGAAGGTGGGTGGAGTTAGTGACAAGTTGCTAAAAGGTTAGGGTGAGGAATAGGGTGTGTAGGATGAAAATGTTTACAGCTAGGCGAGTAAGAGATTAGAAGAAAGGGATTCTCTTGGGTGGGAAAGATGAGGTATGCCAATCCCTAGGATAAGTGGTGTTGTTTGAAATCTAGGATAGGATATGTTGTGGAACAAAATGAGTTTTTTTCATTACACAAGATCATCAAGCCAAGCTAACTGGGTCTGATCGTTACATGAGATCATCGAGTCTCTGATACTGGGTCTGATCATTACATGAGATCATCGAGTCTCTGATACTGGGTCTGATCATTACATGAGATCTTTGTGTCTTTGATACTGGGTCTGGTCATTACATGAGATCATTGAGTCTCTGATACTGGGTCTGGTAATTTACATGAGATCATTGAGTCTCTGATACTGGGTCTGGTCATTACATGAGATCATTGAGTCTGATACTGGGTCTGGTCATTACATGAGATCATTGAGTTTTTGATACTGGATCTGATCATTACATGAGATCATTGAGTCTCTGATACTGGGTCTGGTCATTACATGAGATCATTGAGTTTTTGATACTGGATCTGATCATTACATGAGATCATTGAGTCTCTGATACTGGGTCTGGTCATTACATGAGATCATTGAGTCTCTGATACTGGGTCTGGTCCTTACATGAGATCATTGAGTCTCTGATACTGGGTCTGGTCATTACATGAGATCATTGAGTGTCTCTGATACTGGGTCTGGTCATTAACATGAGATCATTGAGTTTTTGATACTCTGTCTGAT